AATGTTTCAAAGAAAATTGTCTTTCCTGTGATGGCTATCCTGCTACCATATTCTTCTTGTCTTTTAATTATTTTCATACAGACACAACCATTTCCTGCCACTGCTGAATCTTACAAGAACGTATCTTTAGGCTTATCTCTCACTGCCTTAAACAACGATGATTCCTGGCAATCGCCATCTAGTGAATTTGCATTCGGTTTCCAGCAGGTTGAAGATGATGGCTTCTTATTAGCAATCTGGTTCAACAAAATACCTGAAAAAACCATTGTTTGGTCAGCCAACAGAAATAGTCTAATGCAAAGAGGGACTAAAGTTAAGCTCACGGAAGATGGCCGATTAGTGCTTAATGATCGAAAAGGCAAACAGATATGGTGTGCTGATACTGCCGGTAGCCATGCTTGACACCGGTAACTTTGTGCTGGCAAGACACGATTTCGTCAATCTGTGGGAGAGCTTTGGAGAGCCAACTGATACTCTATTGCCTACACAAATTTTCAGTCGAGGGAGCAAGCTAGTTGCTGGATACTCCAGAATGAATCGCTCAACTGGAAGATTTCGATTCACTCTACAAGCTGATGGAAATCTTGTGCTTTACACCCTAACTTTCCCGTTAGATTTGGATAATTCTTCCTATTGGTCTGCTCAAACTGAAGGCAATGGCTTTCAGTTAATCTTCAACCAGTCTGGAAACATTTACCTTGCAGCAAAAACATGGAAGCATACTAAAAATGCTTTCATCAGAATCTCCAACAACTCAAGAATTTTACCACATTGCAGTTCTTGAATACGAGGGAGTTTTCAGACATTATGTCTACCCTAAGAGATCCAGTTCTAATTTCTCTGGGTGGCCTCCTAAATGGTCTTCCTTGTCCACCTCCTTACCTCAAAACATCTACATGAGACTTACAGAAGATTCCGGTAGTGGAGCTTGCCGATTCAACAGCTACTGCAGTCTTGGAAATGACCAGAGACCAAATTGCAAGTGTCCACCAGGGTATAACTTCTTAGATCCGAATGATGTGATGAAGGGATGCAAGCAAAACTTTGTTTCGCAGAATTGTGAAGAAGCATCACAAGAAACAGAACTTTTCTCCTTGGAACAGAAGGAAAATATTGACTGGCCACATTCTGATTCTGAACACTTTGAGATGGTAACTGAGGGCTGGTGCAGGAAGGCTTGCTTGAGTGATTGTTTTTGTGCTGTTGCAATTTTCAGATATGGGAGGTGTTGGAAGAAGAAAATTCCTGGCATCTTCTGAGGAAGTAAAAATATGAAGCTTCTATATTTCTTTTCTAGTCTAAGAATAATTTGTTTCAGACTCCCATTAATTTATTCAATGAATCTCCTACGCGTTGATTTACACTAAAATAATTTCAAAGTCTTTTTGAGTAGTATTTGGGTTTTGTATATTCAAACCAACGGAAGATTCAAAGCTAGTGGGATTTTCCACAAAGAAAAGTCAGAAAGAAAGAAATCTTTTTCTTCATTTAACATGCGGATGGAGGCACATTCTACCAACTGCAATACTCAGAATTAGTAGAGCAAAGGGTTTTTGCCTTAAGTCCTGCAATTTCTTAACGAACACCATCTTCACACCATGGATTTTTCTCTACCGCATTCTTTTTGCTTCTTTCTTCTTCTGCTGCTGCCATTTTCCACCGATGGTCAGACATACAGAAACATAACTTTGGGCTCATCTCTCACGGCTGCAAATGACAACTCTTCTTGGACTTCACCATCTGGGGACTTTGCTTTTGGATTCCAACAAATTGGCGATGATGGCTTTTTACTAGCCATATGGTTCAACAAAATACCTGAAAGAACCATAGTCTGGTCAGCGAATAGAAATGATCTAGTTCAGAGGGGATCAAGGGTACAACTTACTACAGATGGTCAGTTGGTCCTAGATGACCAATCAGGCACACAAATATGGAGCACCATTAATTCCGGTGGAATTGCAGCTTCCTATGCAGCCATGCTTGACACAGGAAACTTTGTGCTAGCAAGCCAATCAGCTGCCAATTTGTGGCAGAGTTTTGAAGAACCAACAGATACAATGCTGCCCACACAGACTCTGAGTCAAGGTCGTGAACTAATTGCTCCCTACCTAGAAAAGAATTATTCAGATGGAAGATACATGTTTGCTCTACAACCTGATGGGAACCTTTCCCTGTACACCACACGTTATCCATCTACTGTCAGTAATTTTGCTTATTGGAGTACCCAAAGTTCTATAGCAAGAAATGGTACTGTGATTAATACTGTATTCTCTATACAAGTTTCGATGCAAGGTTTCTACCAGAGGGCAACCCTTGACTATGATGGAGTTTTTAGGCACTATGTCTACCCAAAGACTGCTGCTTCAAGCAGCAGAAACGGGGATATGGCCTGGACTACTTCGTCTTTCGTACCATCAAATATCTGCACGGCCATTCAAGGACAAGTAGGCAGTGGAGCATGTGGTTACAACAGCGTGTGCAGATTAGGAGAAGATCAAAGACCACGTTGCGAATGTCCTCCAGGTTACACTTTCGTGGATCCCAATGATTTGAGGAAGGGATGTAAGACAAACTTTGTTTCACAGGATTGTGACCAACCATCGCAAGGAACAGATGGCTTCGAGTTGGAGGTGATGCCTAACGCAAATTGGCCATTCAATGATTATGAATTTTTTGGTTCAGTGAGTGAGGATTGGTGCAGACAGGCTTGCTTGAGTGATTGCTATTGCGCTGTTGTTATTTTCAATCCTGCTGGACAGTGTTGGAAGAAGAGAATCCCTCTCTCGAATGGGATGATAGATCCAGACACTTATGGAACCAAAGCCCTGATAAAAGTAAGGAAAGGCAACTCCACTGCAGGTTCATGCGCAAAGAAGAATGATCGATCAACTTTGATCATAACAGGCTCAGTACTTTTAGGCAACTCCGTCTTTCTAAATGTGATCTCATTGCTAGGAATCTATGTGTTCTTTTCTCGAATGAACCGACAAAAAGCAAAAATGATCCTGCCACATAACGTCTTGCCCGATGTGAATCTGGTAAGTTTTACTTACAATGAGCTCGAAACAGCTACTGGAGGATTTAAGGAAGAATTGGGAAGTGGTGCTTCCGGAATTGTTTACAAAGGGCTTCTGGACAATGAAGATACACCCCTCGTTGCAGTAAAGAAGTTATATAAGATGATCAGAGAAGGGGAGCAAGAATTCAGGACAGAAGTGAAAGTTATTGGCAGAACAAATCACAAGAATTTGGTCCAACTTCTCGGATTTTGTGAAGAAGGGCAACAGCGACTTTTGGTCTACGAATACATGAGCAATGGCTCCTTGTCAAACTACCTATTTGGAGATTCAAGGCCTAATTGGTACCAAAGAATGCAGATTGCCTGTGGTGTAGCAAGAGGTCTCCTTTACCTCCATGAAGAATGCAGCTCACAGATAATCCATTGTGATATCAAGCCTCAAAATATCCTTCTCGACGATTCTCTTAACGCAAGAATTTCTGATTTCGGACTAGCCAAGCTGTTGAAGACAGACCAAACTAAAACAATTACAGCAATCAGGGGGACCAAAGGGTACGTAGCTCCTGAATGGTTCAAGAAACTGCCAGTTACAACCAAAGTAGATATTTACAGCTTTGGCATTCTGTTGCTAGAGCTAGTGTGTTGCAGAAAGAAATTTGAGCTTGATGCAATGGAAGAAGATCAGATAGTTCTTGCAGACTGGGCATATGATTGCTTCAAAGAAGAAAAGTTAGACCTTTTAGTACTAGAAGATGAAGAAGCCATGGAAGACATGAGAAGAGTGGAGAGTTTTGTGATGATAGCAATTTGGTGTATTCAGGAGGATCCATCTTTAAGACCTGGAATGAAGAAAGTTTTACAGATGTTAGAAGAAGCTGTTCAAGTCCCTATTCCTCCGGACCCTGCATCATTTATCAGCTCAATCTAAATCCTCGTACAGATATATCATATCTAGTTGCTAAGGGGTATGATGATTTTTTTTAATAAAATTTTCTTCAATTTGTAGAATTTGAATTATACATTTTATCATTAAATAGGATCTCAGGCATATATTTAAGGACTTGTCCACCATCTTTGGTGCAATCCTGTTTACGTCACCTTTCAATCTTCTACTAGTTATGGTAAAATCAGCTTCTTGGAAGAAAATTAAAGTTTTTGTATTATATAGAAAACATCATGTTAATCACTCAACGGATTTGGTCGTATAATAGGGACTAGCAAAGACTATACAAGATAATGCAAACCCCATTTTTGGTGTCAAGAAGCAACATTTCACTATACCCTAAAAATACTAAATTATAATTTTATTCGTTTTGTCAATCGAATATGAATTTTAATTTTTTTTTTAATACATCAATATTTTTTAAACTGTCAATTAAGAACTTTTGTTTATTCAGGCCTGCAGAAGACTCAATGCTAGTTGGAAGTTTGCACTAATAAAAATCATAAAGAAAAAGGAAGTCTTTGCCTTCTTCATCATTCTATATGTGGATGGATAGAGACTCGGTTAATTTCTGGCAAGTGCAACACTCAGCATAAATAGAGAGAAGGTTTTTATGTTGGCCATAAAGTCCTGCAATTTCCAAAGAACAAAATCCTTACACTATGGATTTTTCACTACCATATATATATATATATTTTTTTTTCTCTCATTCTTCTTCTACTGCTGCCATTTTCCACCAATGGTCAGACTTACAAAAATATATCTTTGGGTTCTTCTCTCACTGCTGCAAATGATAACTCTTCTTGGACTTCACCATCAGGAGATTTTGCTTTTGGATTCCAACAAGTTGGAGATGCTGGCTTCCTACTAGCCATATGGTTCAACAAAATACCTGAAAGAACCATAGTTTGGTCAGCTAATAGAAATGATCTGCTTCAGATGGGATCAAGAGTACAACTTACCACAGATGGTTAGTTCGTCTTAAATGACCAATCAGGCAGACAAATATGGAGGGCTGATTCAGGTGGAAATGGAGTTGGCTATGCAGCCATGCTTGATACGGGAAACTTTGTGCCAGCAAGCCAAGCTGCTGTCAATTTGGGGCAGAGTTTTGATCGATCAACAGATACAATGTTGCCCACACAGAATCTGAGTATAGGTGGGGAACTAATTGCTCCCTACCTAGAAAAGAATTATTCAGATGGAAGATTCAAGTTTGTTCTACAACCTGATGGGAATCTCCTCCTGTACACCACAAATTATCCATCAACTATCAATAATTTTTCGTATTGGTCAACCCAAAGTTCCATAGGCAGTGGTTATCAGGTGATCTTTAATCAGTCTGGCTATATGTACCTTATATCAAATAATGGTTCTATAGTTAATTCTGTATTTTCTGATTCAGTATCAATACAAGATTTCTACCAGAGGGCAACCCTAGACTATGATGGAGTTTTCAGGCACTATGTCTATCCAAAGACTTCTGCTTCAAGTAGCAGAAACTGGACTATGGCCTGGAATACTTTGTCTTTCGTACCGATAAATATCTGCCTGAGTATAGAAGGAGATGGAGATGCTGGCAATGGAGGTTGTGGTTACAAGAGCTCTTGCAAATTAGGAGAGGATCGAAGACCAAGTTGCCAGTGTCCTTCTGGTCACACTTTCTTCAATCCAAATGATGAGAGGAAGAGATGTAGTAAGCAAAACTTTTTTTGCACAGGATTGTGACCAACACAGATCGGCCCTGGATTGATTATGAATTTTTGGTGCCGTGGACGAGAATTGGTGCAGAAATGCTTGCTTGAGTGACTGTTATTGTGCTGTTGCCTATTTTAGAAACGGAAGCTGTTGGAAGAAGATTATCCCTCTCTCGAACAGGGGAATAGATAGAAGCAGTGGTGGAAAAGCCATGATAAAAGTAAGCAAAGGCAACTCCACTGCTGGTTCAAACTCAAAGAAGAAAGATCAATCAACTTTGATCACAGCAGGCTCGGTGCTTTTGGGTAGCTCCGTCTTTCTAAATGTTCTCTCACTGCTTGGGATCTATGTGTTATTTTTTGGATTGAACGAACAAAAACAAAAAATGATTCAGCAACCTAATGCCATGCAAGACATCATGAATCCGGTAAGTTTTACTTGCAACGAACTCAAAGCAGCAACAGAAGGATTCAAGGAAGAACTGGGCAGAGGTGCTTTTGGAACTGTTTACAAAGGGTTCTAGCCAATGAAATACAACCCTCATTGCAGTAAAGAAATTAGGACATGTAGCCGGAGAATGCGAGCAGGAATTCAAAGCAGAAGTAAGAGTAATTGGCAGAACAAATCACAAGAATTTGGTCCAACTTATTGGATTCTATAATGAAGGGCAACATCGGCTTCTAGTCTACAAATACAAGAGCAATGGCTCCTCGGCAAAGTTTCTGTTTGGAGATTCAAGGCCTAACTGGCACCAAAGAACTCAAATTGCTTTTGGTGTGGCAAGAGGGCTCCTTTACCTCCATGAAGAATGCAGCTCACAGATAATCCATTGTGATATCAAGCCTCAGAATATCCTTCTCGACCAATGGCTTAATGCAAGAATTTCTGATTTCGGGCTAGCCAAGCTGTTGAAGACTGACCAAACTAAAACAACAACAGCAATCAGGGGAACCAAAGGGTATGTAGCTCCGGAATGGTTCAAGAACCTGCCTGTTACAACCAAAGTAGATATTTACAGCTTCGGCATTTTGTTGCTAGAGCTAGTTTGTTGTAGAAAGAACTTTGAGCTTGATGTAATGGAAGAAGATCAGATAGTTCTTGCAGACTGGGCATATGATTGTTTTAAAGAACGAAAGTTAGACCTTTTAGTGGAACAAGATGAAGCGGCATCGGAAGATATGGATAGAGTGGATAGGTTTGTGATGGTAGCAATTTGGTGCATTCAAGAGGATCCATCTTTAAGACCTGGAACAAAGGAAGTTGTACAGACGTTAGAAGGAGTCGTTCAAGTCCCTATTCCTCCTGATCCTGCGTCAATTATCAGCTCAATCTAAATCCTGAAGGCCTACGAATGTATTACTTCACACATGGTCTAGAGCTTCAGGGTTCGGACTCCAAATTGTAACATAAACTTCCTCAAATCTTCCTGAACTTGTCCTATTTGAATTACACATTACAATTAGGAAATCAGCTTTGGAAGGAAAAAAAAAGTTATTGTATTATATATACTACAGAAAACATCATATTACTATGCACAACATGACCACAAGGCTTCAAAGTTCATACAATGTCATTTTCTTTTACTTTTCCATATTCAAGAGTACTAAGTTAAAAAAAAATAAAAATTGTTAATAACCAGATAAAGTGTTTAGTAACTCATTAATATTCCGTAATTTGATTTCAAAAGGTAATATTTTTGGAAGTTTAACTTGAAATATAAGTGAGATTGTTTTATATTATTATCTATAATTAAAACCTAGAGAATTTGGGGGGAAAATTCTGGTGAATATTCGAGTTTATATATACACTAGCATAATACCCGCACATTGTCATAGGTAAGTCTATATAATATATTTTTTATTATTTTAAATAATAAAAAAATTAGGAGTGAAATAAAAAATTAATTAACACTAACTTTGAGAATTTGCGTTAATTTAATATGTTTTATTCAATATTTTATTATATATTATATTCCATAATTGAGTTTAAATATATCCTATAAATATTTTTTATTTTGATCAACAACAAAAAAGAAAAAAGAAAACATACAATTAATTTTTTTAAAAAAATCAAATTAGAACAATATGCTAATCAATTTACATTAGAAGAGTGTTTAATTTTAGTTAATGAGTCTATAAAAAAATAAAAATAAATAACCATTCATTTTTTTAATATTTTAAATAATTAAAAAATAAAAGCATAAAATAAAAATTAATTAGCACTAATTGTGAGAATTTAATATATATATTCCATAATTTATTTTAAATATATCTGAGAAATATTTTTTATGTTGATCAATAAAAAAAAGAAGAAGAAAACATGCAATTAATTAATTATTTTTTAAATGAATTTATATCATAAGAGTGTTTAATTTTAGTTAATGAGTATATAAAAAATAACCTTTAATTATGAAAAAAGATATTTTGAGTGAATAATAATTAATGAAAAAAATATAGAGAAAGCACAAAAAAAAAAAAAAAAAAAGAGGCATGGTTGGGTTAGCACCAGGCCCATCTGTATGGCCTAGAGACAACCAGGCTCAAACAAAAAAAACACAGGGACTAATCAGCAATAAATATTTAATTAAGGGACTGGTTGGAATAAAATTATAAATCAAATGACTAAAGTATAAACATTTGGATAAATTGACCAAAAAAATCACTTTTTTTTTTTTTTTTTTGAGAAATCAGCATCGTTTCAAGCCAAGAAAAAAAAATCACAACCACGCAATTTTAGTTTACTGTAGCAAGGCTCGACTGCGACGAAACCATATATTGTTTAAATTATTTATAATGACTTGCTTAAAACCCAATAACACATGATGCGTAAAATCCAAAGCATTTCAAGAATAAAAAAACAATTTTCGTGTTTTTACATTACTGAATTTTAGTCATATCAATCCCTCTACTCAATTTTGTTCCATATTAGTCTTTTTATTTTAACTTTTAGGATTTGTTAATCCTTCCATTTATCTTCTTGACGGAGCTCCGTTAGTTTTTTTTTTTTTTTTTGGCACAAAACTTTGATTTCATATACTAATTATTTCTAATCCCTTTTTAATCAGATTATTAAATCAGTCTAACTTTGAATTTCTCAAATACTTAGTAGCATGAATCTTATAATCTAGTAAAACACGGTGATCAGGAATGTTATTAGTAAACTTTAAGGTTGAAGTAGTTCAAAGGGAGGAAGTTTCTGATGAATTTCATTAGCTAGTAATAGCAAACATTCTAATAACATCTCTTCCTTGCATGGGTCAAGCACACATCCCTTTCTTTTGGAGTGAAGGGCAAATTACAAGCACTAAATATTTGAATTTGGATTCTTCAGTTATCAATACAGGTGAATCTGAAAGACAACATAGGTTGTTCCAGTAATTAGAAGTTGCTTCAGCATACGCGTCAACAGACACTGAGTCTTTAATTTCTTGGGGCAATCTTAAGAAAACCCACTCTCCAATCTCCATATCAAACTGGTGTACGTATTTGGAGAAGTTTAATAAATTTTCCTAGAAAATCCTATCCAGTAAGATTTTGGGATACCTGCAGAAGATTCAGTGCTAACTGGAATTTTCCACAAAGAAAAATCATGAAGAAAGAAAGTCTTTGCCTTCGTTTACTACGTGGATGGAGACGCATTTCTGCCAACTGCAATGCTCAGAACATAAAGGAAAACGATAGACCAGGTCTAATTCTAAACCTTAACTAATTTGTTGGACCGAAAATGAAGACTTGGAATCTTCAATGTCTAATTGCCCAAAGTATTGCTCGGCATTAATTAACAAGGAACCAGCCTCGCTATTATATATATTATCAAGTTTCCTGTTCATTTAACTAAATCCATCCAATTGCATATTCCAAATTTCCAATTGTTGCGAGCAATGGACTCTAAATTTGCGTTTGCATTTCTGCTGTTCTACTTCCTCATGTCCTCTCATTCTGTCATATCTCAGACAAGTGGTAAAGTTAACATCGGCGAATCCCTTGTTGCCATGGATCAGAATCTTTCTTGGCTTTCTCCTTCCAAAGATTTTGCATTTGGATTCCGCCAACTAAATGACAATGATGATTTCTTCTTGCTTGCCATATGGTATTACAAAATACCTGACGGAGACATAGTTTGGTATGCAAAGGGAGGAAACCCTGCACAGAGAGGATCGAAGGTTGAGCTAACTGCTGACCGTGGGCTAGTACTGAAAGATCCTCAAGGCACAGAGATATGGCAATCGGATTTCGGCACAGGTAGAGTCGCGTATGGTGTGATGAATGATACAGGCAACTTTGTGCTTGTCAATATAAACTCTGAATCTCCAGCATTATGGGAGAGCTTTAGCCATCCAACCGACACCTTGTTGCCTACTCAGGCAATGAAGATAGAAGGGATTCTTTCTTCTAGGAAATCAGCAACCAACTTCTCTCAAGGAAGATTCCAGTTCAGATTGCTCAGAGATGGAAATGCAGTTCTCAATGCAATAAACCTGCCCTCCAATTACACATATGATGCATACTATATCAGTGGTACTTTTGATCCTGAAAATTCATCAAATTCTGGTGTCCAAGTGGTCTTAGGCGAGTCAGGCAACTTGTACGTACTAAGAAGAAACGATGAAAGGTTCTATCTTACACCACAGGATATAGCTCCGGTGAAGGATTATTATCACAAAGCAACCCTCAATTTTGATGGAGTCTTCACAATATCTCAGCATCCAAAGAATTCCTCGAGTAACGAGACCTGGAGAGTCATTAAGACCATACCAGAAAACATTTGTTTCTTGATCTTTGGAAAAGAGGGGAGTGGGGTTTGTGGCTTTAACAATGTCTGCAAACTCAAGAATGATCAAAGGCCAACCTGTGAATGCCCACCCAGTTACTCATTACTCGACCCAGATGATAAATACGGAAGCTGCAAACCTGATTTCATTCAGGGCTGTGAAGAAGATGGGCAGAGTCCTCAGGAAGATTTATACACTTTGAAGGACATGCCAAACACTGACTGGCCAACATCTGATTATGAGATATTTAAGCCTTATAGTCCAGCAGACTGCAGAGAGTCTTGTCTGCAGGATTGTTTATGTGCTGTGGCTGTGTCAAGAGGAGATGGCTGTTGGAAGAAGAGGTTACCTCTCTCGAATGGGAGAGAAGATAGAGCAGTTACTAGTCTGGCTTTTCTTAAAGTAAGAAAAGCTAATGCCACATTGCACAACCCTCGTTTGCCTCCAAATGCAGAGAAGAACCAAGATAATTTGATCGTTGTTGTATCAGTCTTCTTGGGTGGCTCAGTGATTGTCATCTTCTTATTGTCTGGTCTCTTATGTTTAGGATCTTTCCTCTATCACAAGAAGCACACAGAAAACCACCAACAAGAAAGGTCCATGGGAATGAATTTGCGGTGTTTGACCTATGAAGAGCTCGAGGATGCTACAAATGGATTTAATGAAGAACTGGGAAGAGGATCTTTCGGCGTTGTATATAAAGGTGTAATAGGAACTGGTTCCACAGTCCCTGTTGCTGTTGCAGTCAAGAAGTTAGACAGATTAGTTGAAGACGGCAATGAGGAATTCGAAACTGAAGTCAAAGTGATTGGCCAAACACATCATAAGAATCTTGTTCGACTGCAAGGGTATTGTAATGAAGGACGGAACAGGTTGCTGGTTTATGAGTTCTTGAGCAATGGTAGTTTGGCAAGCTTACTCTTTGGAGACTTGAAACCAAGTTGGCAACAGAGGACCCAAATTGCCATGGGGATTGGGAAAGGCCTCTTGTACTTGCATGAAGAATGCAGCACCCAAATCATCCACTGCGACATAAAGCCACAAAACATACTTCTTGATGGCTCCTACAATGCTCGGATTTCCGACTTCGGATTAGCAAAGATTTTGATGCTCAATCAAACACATACAAAAACCAACATCAGAGGCACAAAAGGGTATGTTGCACCTGAATGGTTCAGGTCTATGCCAATCACCGTAAAGGTTGATGTGTACAGTTTTGGAGTCATGCTGCTCGAGATCATTTCTTGTCGAAGAAGTGTTGATATTGAAATTGGTGAGAATGACAGAGAAATTCTAACATACTGGGCTTACGATTGCTTTCTCGGAGGCAAAATTGATGCTTTAGTTGAGGACGATCCAGAGGCCTTAAGTGATATGAAAAGGCTAGAGAGGTATGTGATGATTGCCCTTTGGTGCATTCAGGAAGACCCCTCTCTGAGGCCTACCATGAAAAAGGTTATGCTGATGCTTGAAGGAATTGTTCAAGTTACCGTCCCACCATGTCCGTGTCCATTCAATAGCACGATAAGCTAAAAATTTTTGTTTTTCAGACAACATCAGTGTTCTTTAGCAGTTGACCAATAATAATCGGACTGCATATATGTAATTTCAATCTGCACCTTTTTTGCATCAAAACTAGATGTCAGAGTACTCAATAGTTTTAAAAAGAGACTCAACAAGCTATTGATAGATTCCAAAAAAATACGAACTATAGATTCAACTAATAACTGTTATGTCATGTAACAGTTGATAACGATTTCGAAACACCTCTATTATCTTTATTCGGTTTAAAATAACAATAGTGATTATTATTTTATTATTGTAGTAAGTTATGATCAACGATCGCCATTATCGTTTTTTCAACCGTATAGATGACTTAAAACTATAATGCAAAACTATTTAATGGAACAAAAAAATACAAGCACATAGATCACAGGGCACATTAATTTGCAACCCTATTGATGGTTCAAATGTGAGCCAAACCTATTGATTATGCACAGTCAACACATGGGCCGGATAGTACTTGCATGGTGTGATCGTGCCCTTTGGATTCAAGTTCAATAATTTTTCAAATAATATTAGGAACTTAAGATTAAACTAGCATATTACGGGCATGTTGCTACCAATAAATCTATTATATAATATGTTTTAATATTTTAAATAATTTTTTAAAAAAAGGATGGATTGAACTCACACTAGGCCCACGTGACTAGGCTAGAAACAAAACTCGATCATAAAAAAATATAGAAACCTTCTAGTAATAATAGTTATAGTTAGAAACTCTTTTGTATAAAACAAAATTAACTTGAAAGACCGAAGTGTAAGAAAAGGGCCAAAATAATTATTAAAAAAAATCATTTTTTGGAAAACAACGTGGTTTCAATAAAAAAAAAAAAAACAAAAAACAAAAACCAAAGCCCTTGTAGTTTACTGCATCATGACTTAAAACAAAGCCTTTTTGGTTCACTGTAATGAAATTGACATGAGTTTTCTTTTCTTCCAAGGATCTAACTACAAAGTCTTTCCACCGAAAATAATCTAAGCAACATGAAGTTCCATCCCTCCAAAACAACTTTTCCACAATCATCTCCAATTTGACGCTTTCAAATTTGTGTTGATTCTTGACTAGACGGTAGGCATCTTGGAATTTGAATAGCACATCTTAGAAAGCAAATGGTTAGAGTCCTCGTCAAAAACTAAAATCTTTAAAGAAGTGGGGCACCCTCTAGGAAATAGCACTACCAAAAATTTGAAAAAATCTCTAAGTCTTGCAGCAAACGTAGGCCATAGATCTGTTGCATGATTAAAGATAATCTCAGTCCTATTTTCTTGACCAGGACTTGGATTCCAACGTTGTAGTGAAGTTATCCATTGACCAGAAACCTTCATCAGTTTTCCTTAGAAACGGCCGACACATGACTTTACTGGATCTCCTTGAGAGGAATCTAGGTGAATTCTTGTTCTATTCATTGATATACCATTAACTGTTCTTGAAATGGTAAAATGGGGCGGAATAGATGGAGAAGAGTGTTCAGTTTCTGCTAAGAAAAAATAATCATCAAAGTCCTCTGTCTTGACTATCTAGAATGTTTTGCCACATTTTCTAACAATTACAAAATCTTATGTGTGATCTCAATTAAGTTCTTATATCACCTTTT